ATTTTTTTGCACAAAGAAAGCCAAAGCAGCCAAGACTAGGAAGCAGAAAACTGGGAAAGAATTTTTACAATCAGTGTCTCTGATAAAGGCCTCATTTCTAAAATATATAGAGAACTGAATTGAATTTATAAAAATACAAATCATTCCTCAGTTGATAAATGGTCAAAGGATATGAGTAGGCAGTTTTCAGATGAAGAAATTAAAGCTTTCTATAGTCATATGAAAAAATGCTATAAATCTCTATTGATAAGAGAAATGCAAATTAAAACAATTCTGAGGTATCACATCATACCTATATCAAATTGCCTAACATGACAAAACAGGGAAATGACAAATGCTGTAAAAGATGTGGGAAAATTGGAACATTAATGCATTGTTAGTGGCGTGAACTAAATCAACCATTCTAGAGAGCAATTTGGAACTATGCCCAAAGGGCTCTAAAACCGTGCATACCCTTTGACCTAGCAATACCACTTCTAGGTCTGTAGCTTAAAGAGATCACACGAATGGGAAAAGGACTTATGTACAAAAATATTTATAGCAACTTTTTGTCGAGGCAAAGAACTGAAAATTGAGGGGATGCCCATCAGTTGGGGAATGGCTGAACAAGTTGTAGTATATGAATGTAATGGAATACTATTGTGCTATAAGAAATGATGAGTAGGTAGACTTCAGAAAAACCTGGAAAGGCTTATATGATCTGATGCTGGGTGAAGCGAGCAGAACCAGGAGAACATTGTACACAGTAACATCCACATTGTGTGAGGACTGATAGACTTATTTCTTCTTAGCAATGCAAGGATTTAAGACCACTCCAAAAGTCTGGAAATGGAAAATGCTGTCCACATCCAGAAAAAGAACTGTGGAGTCTGAATGTAGATCGAAATATATCATTTGCTTTCTATTTTTTTATTTTTGTTTCTTCTTTCTCATGGTTTCTCTCATTGGTTCTAATTCTTCTTTACATCATGACTAACATGAGAATAGATTTAATATGAATGTGTATGTTGAATCTATATCAATTTACACACTCTCTTGGGGTGGGGAGGGGAGAGATGGGGAGAAAATTTGGAACTCAAAATCTTATGGAAGTGATTGTTGAAAACTAAAAATAACTAAATTTATTAATTAAAAAAACAGATAAAATGGCAAATTTTGATCACATGAAACTGAAAAGCTTTTGCACACACACAAAAATAATGCATCTAAAATAAGAAGGAAAGCAGTAAAATGGGGGAAATTTTTTTTTAATGAAATCTTTCAGATTAGGGTTTGGTATTCCAAGATATAAAAAGAACAGGTATGTATGTATATATAAAATAATATTATTTATTCCCATAAAAATAAAAAACACTAAAAACTATTCCTAATAGGCAAATGGTTAAAGGATATGAACAAACATTTCTCAAGAGAATGATATGCTATTCAAAAGAAGCCTAAGTTTCACCTTTCATCAAGGATGATAAAAGATGCGAATAGTCAATGTTAGAGACCAGGAAAATAAGCCCACTATGCACTGTTGGTGGAGTTGTGAATACGTACAATCATTTTGGAAAGCAATTTAGTATTATCCACATAAAAGTGACTAAAAAGTCCATACTCTTTGACTTTGAGGGGATTGATCTTGGGGTTTTTGTGCCAAGGAGGTAACTGATAATAAAGTCCTGTGATAGCAAAGAATTAGAGAGTAGATGCCCATGGGCTGGGGAATGGTTAATTAAATTATGGCACATGAATACAATGGGAAATTATTGTTCTCTAGGGATAAATATGAATAGAGAGAAATAGGGAAAGATTAATGGAAAGATCTGATGCAGTCAAGTAAGTGGAGCTAAGAAAACAATACACATCACCACTCCAACAATATAAATAGTAAGACAATCATAAGTGAACGATACAAAAATAGAAAGCATGGCTCCAAAGAAGATGATGGAAAAACAACCCACTCCAGTATTTGCAAATATAGGAGGTCCACAGGCATGGTGCATTGCATATATTTTCAGACTTTTTTGATATACAACCAGTGATTTCTCCCACTCTCACTTTTTTTTTCTTTAAAAACATTTATTATATGGGATGGCTATTTGGAAGGGGGAGGCAGGAGGGATACTGGCAAGAATTTTGGTGAATAAGCTATCAATAAAATATAAAAAAAGGGTAATTGGATGCTGGTGGTTGTTCTTCAGTTGTGTCCAACTCTTCATGAACCCATGGACCAAATATCCATGAGCATTTCTTGGCAAAGATACTGGGTGCATTTTCATGCAGGCAGGAGTTAAGTGACTTGCCCAAAGTAACACAGCCAGTAAGTGTCTAAGGTCACATTTGAACTCTGGTTGAACTCCAGGTCCAGCACTCTATCCATTGTGCTTCCCTGCTGCCCCAATTGGATGGTACTGACCACATTTTAAAAAACAACAACACTAACTTAAATACAATAACTACTTCAATTAAAATCCAGAGAGTTCATCTTACAATTAACAACAACAACAACAACAACAACAACAAAAACAAAACAGGTTTTCTTCAGGGTCCAAAATTTACACTTCATCTCAGACCTATTGAAGCTTTAATATTAATAACTGAATGTTTAACAACTCAGAAATAATCTCCTTGATAACATTTTAAGAGACAGTCTACTCTCTCCTAACTTTGAGCTAGTACTATAAGTAGACCCGCTCTTGGGACAACAATAATTGGCTAAGGTTCCACAATGAAGAAAAGCATTCTGCAACAAGAGGGGTAAGGAGAACCAGACACAGCTGTCAAAAAGCATGAGACCAGATAATCAAAATCAAGTGAATCATTTACTTTTCATAAAGTCAAAATCTTGATCAAGAGTTTATCCTTTTAAAAATTATTCATAAACCACCCCAACCTCCAAATTGTGTTCTGTGGATTGCTTTCATAAAATCATGAGCACAGTAAGAAAAATGCGTAGAAGTTGGGACATAGTTTAGATCTGCCAACATGAATGGACGGTTCTATTTCTACAAAATCGAATGAGTCTTTATCAGGTTAAATGTTCTACGTCGTCTCCAAATCCCTGAATTTGACTGTTAATGTAGCAGCTTGTAGTAACGTGCTGTGGCACTAAATACTGTTGCACTATATAAAAACACATAATAGTTTACAAGTGATGAATTTAGGCGACATCACAGAACTAAAGAACTGTATTGAATTATCTAACCCAGATCATATTTAAGACAAAATTATTACGTTGTGAGATTAAAATATTCAATGATTCCAACTGTTTTTAACATGACACTAAGTTTATTATTATGAAAAACCAACATATAACATTAAAATTAAACAAATGATGAATGAAATAAAGTTGTATGCCCCTCATTTCAAGATATGCATCAATGGAAATTACAAATAACTACTCTAGTATCTGAGATTACAGTAGGCATTATTACCAAACCTGAGGCAACATTATAAAATTGTCTTTGAAAATCTCAAGCAAGACTTTTATCACAGTGTGACAACAGGATTACTGACAAACAGCAAGAAATGGTATGGGTGTAGACTAAGTAGGATTTACAAAGAGATTGGTAGGTTTTTCTGAAGGTCATTACATGTGGCATTAGTAAGGGTAGAGATACTATATGAAGCAGATGACAGAGAAACTTAAGTTTTAAAGAAGCAAAGCTAGAACAAATCTGTAAAGAAATCAAATGTATTTTCTGCTGCAGTAAAGAGGAATAAGGATCAGGAGAAGTACATATAAGGAAAGGAAAAAAAGGTCCTTCCCTCCCAGGCCCTTAACAAATCATTATTAACAAAAGACATCTATGTGGCACTTTCAAGACTTACAAAGCACTTCACATCTCTTATTTCATCTGATCATTACCATCTGTGAGATAAGTAACACAGTTATTATTCCTATTTAGCAGATGAAGAAAAAGGTTCAGAGAGGGTGAGTGGCTTGTCCATGGTCAGAGCTAGTCTGTGAGTGGCTAGCCTTAAAGTACAGAAAGACAAAAGTAAAAAAAACTCTCCTTCCCTCAACATAGTTCACAGATAAAATAAATCAAGTCAGCATCAACTATTCACTTGGCAACTAATTTTTTCCCTAAACAAGTTTGTTTACAAGGCAACCTTACATTTGCTACATTTAATAATACTATTACAGACACATCACTAACAATATTTTGTCTATAAGACACAACCACAAGACACTAAAAATCTCATCTCTGGATTTGTTTGTGTAATAAAGAGTGTATTTACCGAGATCATACATCAAAAATTGTAGGGAATGGAAAAGAACAAAGAGATATAAATACTAACACTAATAATTCCTGTATTAGGCATTCTGGACAGTTCTCCACTAAGACTGCTGAAGCAAATTGACAAATACTACTATACTGAAAAACCAACTTAATTTAATAGCAGAAAAATTAAGCTTTAAGAGGCAGATCATTAAAGTTAGAAGGATTCTGGAGATCATCTAGAACAAAGGATAAGCAATTATGTCCATTAAGATAATAGCAAAATTACACACCTTCTTTAAACTACACATTTTCAGCAAAGTATGTTATTCATCTAATTTCCAAATACATTTTAGTCTTTCATCCCAGCACTGGACAGATTAAATTAAACACTGGAACATGAAAAGGGACTTTGAAAATATTGCAATATCCATTCACCACACTGTGTATTAGTGACTAGAATGAACACTAAAAATTCACCTTTAATTTTTCTTTAAGTGAGTAAGATTATTTCTGTGCAACAGCTGAAATTCACTGAAGACAAACTCTTGAAAGTAGAGAACTATGTATATTACACTGGAAGTTTCCGGAGGGTAATACATAGTAGACACTTAATAAATTGCCTGTGGGCTGATGAAATCTACAATAAAGAAAGTTCCATTCAAAAAAATAGGAAGCCTCCACTAGTCATTCATTTTACATTTTAATTTCTAAAAATCGATGACTTTTTCTAAGTGACAGAAAATCCCTATAATGAAAGTTCACAACTGAAAGAGTAACATCACTTACTTGAGAATAGTTTTTGCACTACTGCAGTCTTCAAATCGAATGGAGTACCCAACTTCCTGGCCCAACATCACATCCATTTCATCAGCAACTCTCTGAGCCACACTCATTGCAGCAACTCGCCTGGGCTGTGTGCAGGCCACTCCTCTCTTGGGTCCTGGTAAGGAGCGCATGTACTCAACGCACCACTGAGGGATCTATCAAAAACATTTTTAGGTTTACATCAAAATACTGGTTCACTTTATACACACAGAAAAGGAAATTTAATACAACTGCCTTGCTTTAACATTTTAAAACAGCTTCACTTAATCATGCCACAAGAGTATGATTTTAAATAAAGGTAAAAGATAACATGGGGTAAGAATCCTCTTTCGATTTAATAATTTAATTCAATGAACATTTCTTCTGTGTCTACTACGTGAAAGGCACAAAAGTTATGAATGTACACTTTTCTAGTGCTCCTTGTTATTCTGATTCAGCTACAACATAATGGAAATTATGTCCCTAAAGACTTAGATACCCTTCTACCTAGCGAGCACATCCTGCTTTCTCTCCAAAATAACCCTGATGCTGCCAGCAAGGATGGCGACTGCTTCAAGAAATACAACTTGTGCTCCACATATAACCAAGAGCCCTGTAAGTGTTGTGCCTGCTTCACGTAGGGTCTACATGGGGTCTCCACTCACAGTTTAAAGAAGCACTAAAGTAGTCACGAATGGAAAAAGTTTAAGCCCTGGTCAAGAGTTGGAGCTATACTTCTACAGAAGAATACAATTAAGGTGATACAATAGCATGACAGTGTATTTCTTCCTTCTTTCACAGTGAACTAAAGTTGAGAGGAGTCATGAAGTTCAGTGCGCTGATTAGAAAAAATAATGATGGAGAACCATAGGGAACTAGTGGATAGTCTCCATTAAAGTATGTAAGAATCTACATTCCCTAACACCCCAATTTTACAGAATTCCATATACATTAACATAAGAAATTAATCTACACAATCCGGAATTACTAAGTACCATATTTAGAAACTATTCAAAAAGCTTTACATACTCAAAGTAATTCTTTGGTGAGACAGCTAATATTCACCTCCTCAAAAGCATCCCATAAACCACAGACTCAATCTTCCTTTTAAGTGGTTTTCCAACCTTTCCATGCATTCTACAAGACCCAAAAATTGTTTAGAAACAAAACCAAAAACGTTCTACTACGTGAAGCAGGAAAGGGAGGGAAAGGGCAGAAGAGAAGAAAAAGATAATGCAGATAGGCTAAATTTCCTTGTGTGCAATTCCTAAAATAAAAATCCTGGTTTTGTCCTGTAGTTCAATATCTTGTTCTTCAAACTAATTCATTTATCTGTCCGTACCCACTAGCTCAGGGTTCTGCACACTAAATCCTCTCCTTTAGATCCTAATCAAGCTTGTCTTGCCAACACTTGTGGCTTGCCACAATTCTATTCTTCCTTCAGTCAGACCCCAGAAAGAGACCCTGAAATCATATAGTTCAATTCCCTCATTCAAAAGACAACTAGGAAATTGAGAAGTGATTTCCTCAAGGTTGCTAGCTAGTTATTACCAAGCTAGCACTAGAACTTAAACTTCTAGTTCAATGATCTTTCCATCAAAATATCCTGCCTTTCCTGCTCACCATACTATCTCCAAATACTAAGTAAACCTAAGCTCTATTACTGTCATAACATAAACAGTCTTAGATGTAGAGGGTTGCTTTTCCATATCTGCAGAAAAAGGAAACTCCCTTTCCTCAAATATGCTGAATCTATCCAATATCATTTTAGTGAAAGGTAAAATGCAGAAGGCATTTTATCCACCAGAGATGGTGATGGCAGCCAAAAACAAACAAAAACTGTCCCAACATCACCGGCTTCTCTCTTCTCAGTAGGCCAAAGGGAAGGAGGTTCAGTGGCAAGAACTTGCTTTTCAAGAGGTAGGAAGGATCCAGGATAAGTGAGAGAAACAACTGTACCATCAATTTAGGTGTGTATGTAGCCTCCCCTATTAAGAAAAGGGTGAGGGGCTTAGGGGTGGGGTGGGGGTGGTAGAGATTCCCTAGGAGAAAACAAAGGGATAAATTATGAATGAGAAAAGAATACAAAGAACCCTACCAAAAGAAAAATGGATAAAATGGATAATGTCCACTTAAATCCCATATCAAATACAGAATAATCACTGTTATTCTAAATAGGGGTAGGAGCAGTAGTTTATGCCTATATTCTAACACTATTTTAAGATTTTTCTGAAGCTTAGCCTTGTGATTAAAGAAGTCCCTTTGGAGTTCACTTTTGTGTAGTGGAGGCAGATGGTAGTATGTGGGTGGAAGTAATAGAACACCATTTGAGATGAAAAGGTAAAGATGGCTAAGTACATCAAGAGAAAGCAAGTTTGAAAGACTGCCAAGACAAGCCCATTAGTTGAGTCACTTTTGACTACAGACCTTTGACTATACAACTTCTAATCTGAGCTTCTTTCTTACAATCTTAACTAAACTACAAAACTATACAGAGAAAATACAAAGCTAAATTTAAGTGTCTATTTTACTTTTTCTTTTTTCTTTTCCTGGAGCAGTTAATAATTATTCAAACAAATTTATGAATAAGGATAAAAATCGACATGAGGGATAAAAATCGACAGGTAGACTAGTCAGTATGCACACTTTTCCAAATAAGTGATTATTAAAGCTGAAAATGGTATAAAATATCTTCAAATTCTAGCATACTGACAGAACATTGTAAAGCAGAACCAGTTCCTAACTTCCAATCAACTTTCCAAATGTTGCAAATCTGCAATTATTTTGTAAACTATTTGCAAATGGATCCTTCAAAAATCAATAACCAGGACATCTATTCCAATTTGGTAAATGGAGTGACATCATACATATGAGAAAACAACTGAGACAAAGAGAAGTGACTTGTTTAAGGTTACAGGGTATTAAGTGGCACAGCTGGGATTCAAAACCCAGGTCATGTGCCTCCAAATCTATGGTTTTTCTACTTCATTACACTGTCTCTCACCAAGGCTCTTTCCAACAAAGCTGTATTTTTCCCCTACAGCACAGATATTAAGTGTGCTCCATGACACTCCCTGATGGCTCCCTTACTCCATGTAAATATAACTGAGGCTGCTTTCCTGCCACTAGGGTGGCATAACCAGCCTATCACCACAAACTGTTTTCTAAGCACTCCCCAAGGAATTCTACAACAAATGAATAAAGGGAGTTGATTAGGGTATTTAAGTGTTTTAAACATTAATAGATAAAATATGAAACATACAGCCCTATGGACATCAAAGACAGAAAGATTCTGTACAAATAAAAGCATGCATAGGATCACTTTCGTGGTATCAAAAAACTGGATACAAGTAAGTATACATCAACTGGGGGAATGGTTAAACAAAATATGGTATGCAAACATAATGGACTTTAAGAAATGACAAATGAGGGATTAAGAGGAACATGAAAAGATTTACAAATTGAAATAAGCAGAACTAGGAGAAAAACAGCCATTAAAAACTATATGAACATAAATGGAGTGGGAAGCATAAAACACCCCAACAACTAAAACAAAGCCAAATGCTGATAGTGATAATAATCAGTCTTGGCCCTGGAGAAGAGATGACTAAGTACTTCCTGTCCTTTGTGGTAAAGATGGAGGTCAAAATTGGTCAAAATGCTGCATATACTATCAACTCTGTCACTGTGGGGGTTGGTTTTGCTTAGCTGTTACAAGGGAGGGATCAAGAGACATCTAAAAATAAATGTGTCACACACACACACACACACACAACCCCCATACATCCTCACAATATAAAAACTCACCTGTGTTGTTTTACCAGAACCGGTCTCACCAACTAGTACAAAGGACTGATGCCTAACCAGAATATCTGTAAACCTATCCTTATATTCCCAAACAGGGAGTTGAAGCCGCTTCTTTAGAATGTCATAGTAACGAGGGGTGTGGGGTAGATTAGTGAATGGATTAATACACTGTGGAAGTGATGTGTGTCCTGCATGTCCTGTGTGTGTTGAATGAGCAGAATGTGTTGAATGTGTTGAGTGTGTCGAGTGTGTCGAGTGTGCTGAATGCGATGCTTTTAAAGGTGGTAATCCAGCACTAATGAGCATAGCATTAGTAGAGGCACGCAATTCCTTTTCCTTCTCTTTCTCTCTTTCTCTCTCTCTATCTCCCCTGTCACGTTCTCTGTCACGATCTTTGGAACGATCTTCACGATCCCGGTCACGGTCTCGATCCTTCCTAAAAACGAAATTAAGAAATCAGATTTTAATAAATTAAGGTAATATATTTAGACACTTCCATTCAACAAAAAATACCTAAGGAAGCTTTTAATACAGTACTTCTCTGAAGTGAGTTCTACGAATCCCCAAGAACATAGAGTGCCTAGTTACTGAAAACAGGTTAAGAAATTTCTGCTAATTAAGAATGACACTTTAGAACAATGGAACTACGTTCCCCAGTACTAAGGAATTTATATTGATTATAGGCATATTGAGTTCCCTGTCAGTGGAAGTCTTTAAGAAAAGCCTGGAGGACTATCTCTTGCGTATGCTGTAGTGAGATTTCTTTTTCAGGGTATGGGGTGGGTAGGCTGACAAGGTCCTTCCAAATTCTAAAATCTGGTTTCCTGCTTATCATTTTACTGCTTTAGGCTGCATGGGACTGGGCTACTATTTCTTAGACTATCAATCAGGATTAAGTTGCCTATGTGCCAAGTACTACACTACAAATACAAAGGAATGAAATATTTCCTACTTGTGAAGAGTTTATATTCTATGCTAGGTGCTGCAGATACAAATATGTGAAACATTAGCTACTTAGCAGGACAAAGACATACATTTATAGAGAATACAAATAAATACAAAGTAGTTAAATGCAAAGTTATTTGAAAGGGAGGCAGAGATTAAGGGGATCAGTAAAGGTTTCCAGGAGAAGGTGGTCTTTGAGCTGCATCTTGAAGGGAGAGATTCTATGAGGCAAAGGGGAGTACATTCACTGGGGGTGGGGGTGGGGGTGTTGAGCAGCTGGTGCAAAAGGAAAGAGATAAAAGATGGAGCACTGTGTGATAGAAAAAATGACCTCATAAAATCCCTTCCTGCGCTAAGATTTTGAAACATTCTTGACAAAGGTTATTCAATATTCTGTAAATTTTTATTAAGGACCTACTATGGATAGATCAGAGGTAGCTAGGTGGCTCAGAAGATAAGACTGCTGGGTCTGGAGTCAGGAAAACTCATCTTCCTGAATTCAAATCCAGCCTTAAGACATGTTCAAGCTATGTGACCCTGGGTAAGTCACTCCACTGTTACTGTCTGCCTTGGTTCCTCAACTGTAAAATGAGCTGCAGAAGGAAATGGCAAACTATTCCAGTATCTTTGCCAAGAAACCCCAAATGGGGCCACAAAAAATCAGACATGACTGAACAACAACAAATGTATAGCTAATAATGCCAGGCACTGGTAAAAGGTTAGATATGGTCCTTGCTCTTATAGAACCTACAGTAGAAAGGTAAAGCATATGATAGCAGGCATTTACACAGCATTCTAAAGTTTGCAAAGTACTTTACACAGATTATCTCATTTGAGCCTCACACCAACCTTTTAATAAGTAGGTATTATAAGCATCACCCCATTTTAAAGATAAGGAAACTGAGGGCCAAAAAGATTCAATGATTTACCCATGGTCACACGGCTAGTAAATATGAAGTAAGATTAGAACCCAGGTCACTACTCACTCTTTAACTCGACCATCTTTTAACTACACCATTCTACCTCTGGGGTATAGTAAAATGGAAGGGAGGGTTGAGAGCTCTCTCTAGATCTACTCCATTTAAGGAAGGAGTCCCCAAGCCAATCACCTCTTCATTTTCCACTCAAAAATGGGAAATTTTTTTTCTCTGGACTTCATTACACCCAACCTCCTCTCACCCCTCTTCCAGCTTCCACAAAGCTTCAATTATGTTCCATCACTAGACTGTCAGCTCCTTAAGAGCAAGGACTGTCTTTTGCCTTTCTTTTTATCTCCAGCAATTAGCACAGTGCCTGGAACATAAAAATACATGTTCAGTGACTGACTGACCTTTCAAATACATGAATACTTGAAAAATCACGAAGTGAAAAAATATAATTTTTAAACAAAAGTTGAGGAAATAGGTCTGACCACATCATGCTCCCATGCAATAACACAAGGATAAACTACAACTTCTGCTTGGCACCGAAAACCCTTAACAAACTGGCTCCCATCTACTTTCTAGACTTGTATACATTACTTTACAAAGTTTACAATCTAGCCAAACTGGAATTCTGGCTATTTGCCAAACATGACATTTTAGTTCCCATCTCAATGCTTTTGCATAGGCTGTCTCCCATGCCTGGAATGACTCCTACCTCTTGGATTTCCTTCAAAGCTTATGTCCTCTCTTACAAAAGGCTTTTCCTGATCCCTCTAGCTGCTGGTTCCCCCCACCCAAAATCACCTAGTATTTATTTTGTATATATTTTAAATATACTTATAGATGTATATATTGTTTCTCTTAACTGGATATAACCTCCTTAAGAGTAATTTTGTCTTTGTTTCCTCAGCACCCAGAATACTGCCTGACACATAGTAGTTGCCCAACACATGTTCACTGATAAAACAGGAAAATAGGATACAGTTCAACAACTGTCCTACACTAGACAAAATATGATGATTCTAAAACTCAATTACACAGTTTGAAGTTTAAGGGCGATGCCACATAAAACCTCGTAGATAGAGAAAGTCTTTGAGAACTTCAACAGCTGTAAAAAAGCTGTCTCCCCAAGGCATAAAGATGAACCTCTCCTACCTGAGTTATGCTGGTCCTCAGGCAACAAAGATAGAAAGAATATCACCAAACTACAGCAGACTTTCTAGCTTGGCAAAAGCTACTAGAACTCATGGTCAGCTAGTATGGCCTTCAAAAACTCTAAAATAGTTTTCAAACACAGGGAGGCAACAGCATTAGACTTTAATGAAGAACAAAGAGCTAGGCTGGAATCCAAGCTCTTGAGCAATATGCAACTTTGTTGCTGTTTAGTCATTTCAGTCTTGTCTGATTCTTCCTGACCTCATTTGGGGGCTTCTTAGCAATCATACCGGAATGTTTTGCCATTTCCAACTCCAGCTCATTTTACAGATGAGGAACTGGGACAAACAGGGTTAAGTGACCTGCCCAGGGTCACACAACTAAGAAGTGTTTGAGGGTGGATTTGAACTTAGGTCTTTCTGACTCTAGGCCCAGTGCTCTATCCATTGCACCACCTAGCTGCCGATATGCAACTTTGGGCACCTTAAAATCCATGAATATGTTTTCTGGGGGGAAAAATGGAGATAATGAATATTAGTTATACTTCACCAAGTGGTTGTGATCTCACTCTATAATAAACAGCAAAATACTTACAAGTATGATACATTCAAATGGCTTCTTACAGTTAAAATGTTTCTTTATCAACAGGAAAGAGTTCTCTAAAAGCAAGTTTAGTTCTCAATGGGAGAGAGATGAACTGAGGAAACTTAAACTGTCCTTCTCAACTGTTATTCACACCAACCAACCTAAAAGAACTGTAATCATAATTAGGCTTCCTGCCTCAGTCCACCCCCCTAGATCTTCCTGCTACTACTAATTCGTGAAATTCTCTTAATGGAAGTGAGAGCCTTTAATTCCACAATAAAAATAAAAGTTACAAAGTTCAAGGTGTAGAGCACTGAACTTGGGAATCAGGTAGGCCTACCTGGGCTCAAATCCCGTATATGATACATTTTCTCTCACTTGTAAAATGGGAATAACTATATTACTTGATAGGATTGTTGTGAGGTTCAAATGAGATGACGTGTGTGTGTATATATATATATGTATATAGATAGATAGATAGATACAGATATATGTGTGTGTGTACATATATAAAATATATATAAATATAAAATGTCTGCAAACTTTAATGTATGATAGAAATATCAATTATCATTACTAAATACTGTGTTATGTTTACAAAAGTCTTTGGATCTGGACGGTGAGTTAACATTGCCTTCATGGCCTATTTCTGAGGATTTGTCCTCTGGCAGTAGAGCTCTATTGAAACAAAATATCATTTTATCATCATCTCACTAGTCTTTTGCTCCTCCCCATTATCATTCAAATAAGTTACCTTAACATTCCCCTTCTACTACTCATTCTACAGGCACAGACCCCATTTTAGCATGGGTTATGTGTCCAATGATGCAAACCAAAACTCCTCACTGTATCTTGTGAAATTCCTGTCCACACATTTCCATAAATTCTTCTTTTCCAATTATAAATGCCCTTTGACAATGGATTTGATACTATGGGCCAAACAATGTTACAGGAGGCAATGAGTTCAACAGAAAGGTAAACAGAGATACTGGGTAGAATTAGATTATATTACTTCAAAATGATATTGGTCAAGCAACTTTCAGAAGTATTATATACTTATTAGTTTTATTGACAGGCTTTGTAATGGGCCAGGGGTAGAATATGACAAAGGCCATGTGATAAGAGTGGTCAGCAAGAGGCTTAGAGTTAGAAGGTTTGAGCTTAAAGCTTGCTCTACATCTACCATTTACTAGGTGTGAACTTAAGTCATTTAACATCTCTCAACCTCAGTTTCCTCATCTGTAAAATGGGGATGATATTTATACTACTTTTTTAACATGGCAAATTTGAACTATTCAAAACCTATGCATAGTGGTCAACTATAAAATCAAACAGGCTCTAATTAAAAAGCTTTCTGGCAACTCAATTTTCACCCACATGAATGAAGGTTAATTACTAGTAAGGATAATCAAAATCTAACCCATCCAAATGAGGCCTCAGCTCTATTTCCCTATGGCAGACAAATCTGTAATAAGATATGGGGGTCTTCTCAGGCCTGAATTAGCTGAACCACACTGCAGGGGGAGTGCCTCAAGTGCTCTCAATGAACAGGGAAGCAGCCTTACACAGCTGGACTGAATGGAAAGGCACAGAACTCTCACTTATGCATTGCTAGCTGGGTTGGGAATGAGATTACATTCTCTTCACATGGCAATAAATACCTTTTTATGGGTTCCTGGCTTTGAACCAGCTACAGCCACAGGTGGGGAACCTACAGCCTCGAGGCCACATGCGGCCTTCTAGGTCCTTGGGTATCGCCTTTTGACTGAGTCCAAGTTTTACAAAACAAATGCTTTTATTAACGGGATTCTGGGAAGTCTGGATTCAA